ATCAGCAAAGCAATATTTTCCTCTTGTCTTTCTAGTTCTGAGCCATGCTCACTAATTAATTCATTACAGAGTTTACGAATACTCCTTTTAACCTAAAAGAGGAATGCAAACGCTGCGATTTCAAAGAAAGTATTATGAATATCAATAAGTTAAGCATTTGCCAACCTTCTCAAAATGTTTCGATTCACATTCAGCACAAAGGTCTTTGGAGCAATGATTACAATTGTTTAACGCTTCTGGGCGAGCATTACATTCATTACATTTCGGATTAAGGTTAATATTGGTAAGTATGTCATTTAATATATATGAACACTGTACTAGTTGATTTATGGTAGTCGGATTACGACAAAGCGGACATTCTTGTTCTTTTCCCAGCCAATCTGTAATGCAGACTTTACAAAATGTGTGGTCGCAAGGCAAAGTCTGAGGTTCGTTTAATCTGTATTAATATAATAAAAAAACGTTCAAGTACTTTGAGATGTGCCGTTAACACTTCATTATAAAAGTGCATAAGACGTCAAAATAGGAATAGAGAAACAGCGTTAAGTTCACCTTTGGTAACAAATCGGACACTCCAAAATACGAGTAGGAATCGAAGCTGTCATCACTGCTTGAAAAAGTGCGGGAGTGGGTTTCCTAATTACTTTACTGAAGCCTCTTACCACTCAAGGTTACGAATATAATTGAAAGGAAATGGAAATTACAACCTTTGGTTAATCCATTTAGTAATTTTTAATTTGGCACAATCCTTTTCATGTTGATATAACATATCAAGTTCGATTTAGAAAATTACAACTCAAGGTATTGCATACATTACTATTTTAAATATTTCGTTTCATAAATTTATCTACCTTCATTTTGCCAACATATGTTATATGAGCACTTTCAAACTTATCAAATGGTTTTCCCCACTTCCGAATCATTTTCTTTATTTAATTTGGTGGATTGCAAATAATCAGGTAGTTCAGATCATTACTTTTCCCTTTTACTCTACTAGATATTTCTTAATTCAAATCCCCTAGAACTTAGACAATCGAATTTAAAATTTAAAATTGAGTATAGTGCATCCGAAGAATCTCACAAGAATAGTTAATTTAAATATATATATAATTTTATTATCTTAGTTTAGGCTTGGAAAATTGAAAATAGACTTGTGGGCAACTTTATAATATTTTCGAATAAAATTTCAGTAGAAATTGGAACTGTATGGGCTATTAAAACGCATCCTCTAATATTTTAGAAGTAAGGAACCTTTGGATGTAGAAAAATCAATCTCAAAACCTTAATTTCAACAAAACATTCATGCACTAGCCTGTTTGTTTGTTGTCAGGGCTTTGATAATTATTATAATCCTGTGTAAATTTTTTCTAATCCTCAGTGGGCAATCCTGCTATTGAAGTGCTGTTTTGGGAAATAAATTCGGAAGTAGATTTGTGAAACCAATTTTCAACCATACATCTTAGTTAAATTTTAAAAATAAATTTTATTGAAGAAATAGTAATTTATAAATTAAATTTGATTGAGTTGACATTTATTCACTAGGCTTATTTAAGATTTATCAAATGTGTGGAGATTAGGTGGTTGTTTTATTTTATAAATGCGCTGGATAGTGGTCGTCAAATCATGCCTGCAGTTAATTTAATAAAGAAAAATGTTTAATATGGGCCTCGAATATCCAGTTGAAATACTTCGCAGCTGAGTTAGTAGCTGATATAAATAAAAAATGCATAAAAATGCCTTGAATATCGTAGATAATAAAAGATAATCAATGCTTAGGAGAGAGGTCATTGAAAGAAATTGATTAATTTTTAATCCTCTAATATGATAAAGAAATTGGGTGGTACACCCTGGGCAACGTATGTTTCAAACTACCATGACCCCACTCTACGCCATTTTTAACCACTTCCGTAATACCCATCTTATCTATTTTCTATACCTTTGTCTCTGAATCTCTTACATCTGTGAAGCACTCATCTGTCCCCATTTCCCATTTACTCATCGGAATTTTTGACTTTCGCGTTCCCCCACTTTGTGAAGTGCGAATTTATTTTGAATGGTCATGAGGACTATTCGTTTGTTATTAATATGATATAGAAAAATTGTATTATAAAATCACTGCACAAACACAATTTTTGGTAAATTTTAGATCCGATCATGACATAACGATAGAAACAGGGGTAACGGAGTTATATGGATAGTGGAAATTGATTTGTATTGATGAAATTAAATTAGCCCAAACTGATCCACTGTCCATGATGATTTTAAATTATAAAATGAACTGCAAGTATGTAAAACAATTAGTCTAATTTAATTTATTTTAATTCATATTATATAATTTAGCTCATTCTTAACCCAGATAAATAAATGACACCATTAAAGTGTGGAATAGCCCGACTTTCGCGCATTTTCGAATCGTTTTGATGGCTTCGATTCCCTCTCGTATTCTGGAGTGTTCAATTTGTTTAAAAAGGTAAAATTAATACTGTTTCTCTATTACTATTTTGACATCTTATAAACTTTAAAATTGAAATGCTTACTGTACATCTGAAAGTAATTTAATGATTTTTATTTATTTAATACAGATTAAACGATCCTCAGACTTTGCCTTGCGACCACATATTTTGTAGAATCTGCATTACAAATTGGTTGCAAAAAAATAACGTTTGTCCCTTTTGCCGTAAATTTTTTACATTGAATGATCTGAAGCAGCCGTCGTACATATTAAATGATATACTTAATTGCATTCAAAAAAACGATAACGATAAATGCGACGGATGCAAGGAATTTGCTGATGTTCTAAAAACGTGTGATCATTGTGCGAAACTATTGTGCGATTTATGTAAAGTACAGCATCTTGAGGAGGTTAGTAACTGCTAAAATTGCTAACATTCATAATAATTTCCTTGAAATCGCAGCGTTTGCATTCCTCGATTAGGTTAGAAGGAATATTCGTGATCTCTGTGATGAATTAATTAGTGTTCATGGCCCAGAACTAGAAAGACAAGAGGAAAATATTGCTTTGCTGATGTCTGCTGCGACTGGTGCTAAAGAAAACCTAATTGAACAATTGCGAGGCGCCCACGAGTCTCTAAATGAGCAGATATCTGGTCTCCACTTAAGAAGCTTGGAAACATTGAAGAAAATGGAGGATACCTCTCACCCCAGCTTGAATACTCAAATTGAAGAAGTTGAGACTCTGATTGGAAGGATTAGAGCATGCATCTCGGAGTCGGCTACAATTCTGGCGAAAAAAGTGAGTGAGATGCATCTATTGTGTTGAGTAAGTTGCTTATGATTATGAACTGCAGTAAGAAGTGCATGTGGGGCAAATCGATTGACATAAATTGGTTACTCTCTGATGGTAAATCCCTGGCTTTTGCAATTGTGTTCTAGACTGCAATTGACATCGTCTAGGGTTTGGGGGCGGGGGACGGGGGCGGACGGTGTTGTAGTCAGTCCAGAACTACTTTTGACGACAAATGTCTTCCTACAATTTGCATGGGAGATTGAATCTACCACCGGATTGATGGGGATTCTGTCTTGTAGGAAGCACTATCTACGATCATCTTTGTTGAGGGGGAGGGAGAGGGGATGGGGGTATTAGTGAGGCAAGGTAATATGAGGAGTATAAACTCGGTGAAAAATGGGAATACGGATGAAGAGGCAAAAGTATGAGAAGTGACTATAGGAATAACTGATTCAACTATTTGTTCGCCTGTGGCAACGTAGTCAGCGATTTACTTTCCTGATTAATTGTCAAGATGCCAGGAGCAAAGTGCATCAAAATATCGATTAGATCGAAAGAACAACTTGTAGACTATTTGAGAGGTGGCTCGATGTCGTATAGATATGGGTTTTACTTGTCTTCAGACGCCCTGTTAATCAGAGGGTAATGGCTATTACGACAAGATTGTGTCTCTCACAAATGCACTCTTCATGTCTCCCAGCTCACCTCCTTATCGAACACACATCTTAGAGACTGTCTCAACATATTAATCTGCTCCATCTATAAGATGCTCCCGAATGGAGACCTGTTTAGACCACACGTTCCATACCTTCCTGTTGGCTCGTAGCCACCGGCCTATTGAACTTTGATTACGAGAGTTCTCATTACCTTATTTGTTGTTCTTTGGGGGAGGGAGAGGGGGGAGGGCGAGGTTCAGTATTGTTAAAACTTTTTCAGCCCACACAATCCAGATGAAGACGCACATTGTTCTGTTTGACTCGCAGAATGTTGCCAGTTGTTTCAATTAGCTTACCTCCATTTGTCTGAACTGGTGTGCGATGTTTGACATCTTCCTCATTTTCTGGCAGGATTTGGATGCTCTACTCAATTTGGATGGTGAAATTAATCGTCTCCAGAAGGACATAAACGACTTTCAAGAGAATCAGAAAGCATTGAATACTAGTCAAGAGGACTCATCGTTTAAGAACCTTCGAATCAACCCAGCGTACAAATGGGTGAGCTTTACCCTTTTGCGATAGACATGTCTTCGATCTTAAAGGACTATTTATTGGTTAAAAGTCATTCCAGCTCTAAAGCGATGAATGAGTTGTCGTGCTGTCTGTCAGGATAACAGCCGAAGCAATTAACAAATCCTCGATAGCTTTGAATACATTAAAATAAGTCTAAAAGTCGTGTTTCTTTTCAGGTCGCTAGTGTTATTGAGGAGACAGAGATGTTGCGCAAAACGACCAGTGGTTGAAATGGAAACCAAATCAATTTAAAGAGCCATTGAAGAGACCGCTGCTTAATTTATATTCGAGTCCCTCATTTTTTACTTCCCTTGTTTTACTATATTAAGAGTCTGCTTTTCGAATTCTAATAAATTTGTGCAAACTTTCGGTGATGAGGTGAAGATAACGGCTTGTGGAGGATGGTGTGTCTGGAACATGTCGGAGCCCGTTGAAGGAAAGATGATAATGGTAGAAGGTGGTGTGAAAATTAGGTAGGCCGTTAGCCTCTTCCAAGATTTACGAAGTCCGCATAGTCAGGATAGGAATGGTACTGAGAAGCCTGCATAAGTTCGCATCGAGAGAGAGAGAGAGAGAGAGAGAGAGAGAGAAAACAGAGCGAAGACGATAGTCATGTAACCGGTATGCCGAAGTTTAAACTAAGTTATAGAGTAAGGCTTAAAGAGTGGCTCTAAATAAGAGAGGGAGGTTGAAGTGTGGTTGGTGAGGCTGGTATGTTTGTCAGAGAGAGAAGAAAGTGTAGATTGTTAAGGTTGTGGTCAAGGTAGACACATAATTGTGTCAAGGCACCCGGATTACCATAGAGTAAGCACTCAATAAGCGTTTAATAGGACATTCACAGTTGCGTTTGCTATTATATGGCTGCACTGCCTCTATTGAGACATGCCTATGATACACAGTTGGCTGGGGTTTTATGTGAAATTTAAAAAAAGCATTTAGCCTTAACTGTCTTGAGTTCCATTCGGTTTGCAACGGCTCTCCAATTTACCCCTATTCCTCATTTTCTCTATTTGGACTAAACAACTTAAATGTTCTCTCTACTCTCGTGTTGTCTCTTCTCTTTTCACTCCTTCCATTCTGCCAGACGTGGTCCAAGTGACCAAGTGCCAGAGAAGATTGTATAGACAGGGCGATGAAGTAGGACAATTGATGCAGATTGGCAGGAGGAAGATGGAACAAGAGCTCAAGAAAAGTACAACGATGCGAGTGGGTGTCTATAAGACTGCACATACGACGATTTTAGGGGGCCAACTTCAAACAGGTCACAAAACAAGTATTGAGGGAGATGGAAGTCGAAAGTTGGTTGATGAATACTGCCTGTAAACCTTTATCATTGTCTGTTGCCCGTGATGGCAAACTAAAGATTACATTTCGCTTCTTGCCATTACATGATCAAACGTCAACCTGGAACATCATGTATGAGATGGTGGTAACTCATGGCATCCAACTGAACGCTAATATCTCGATGAAGACAATCAATCAAACATTGGTGTTTAATTTGTTGTTGTCGTGGGAGAGTTTAGTCATGATGTAATCAGAGAGGGTGTGTGTGTGTGTGTGTGTGTGTGTGTGTGTATCTGAAAGGGCAATTGAAACCAAGAAATCTTGAAGAGTCATGCGTTGAGTAAAATATAGAGTAATTGAAAGGTATGTGGTCTGCTAGTGGCTATTATCTCTTAGTGAATTTGACAATCTTGTCATTGTGTGTTTAGTGCTATTGTTTACGGTTCCACCCTGACTCCAAATCCATTGATCGAAACGAATGTCAATGGACTTGGTAACGCCTTTCGTTTTCGAACGAGGTGTTTCAAAATATATGCCCAAATGTGTTAACATATTGCAGACATATCCATCTCATTAAATAATTGTACTGAATTTAAGTTATTCGACTTTATGTCATATATCTCAACTTCCGCATTACCTACCTTTCCATTTTCTCTTCCTTTGTGTTTCTCTGTCCCTTTTACATCTGCAAAGAGCGAATTTTAACTAAGGGGATAATGGCAACCGCACTAAGCTGGCACTTGATTCGACTTCTTTTTGCTGCTCTCTTCGCCAATATTTCATAATAACATTGGGCCCCATAAGTTAGCCGGGCAATCTCACGGTGTAGAGGTTGCACTCATTTGATTTTAAATACGTTGATTTTTACTCATTTATCTATACAGATTTTGATCACCAAAATACAAATATGGTTTTGAAAACAATGGTGGGTCTTTTGATCGTCGGCTGACTGTGAGGAGCAGCACACTTTTTACCTACTCGGCAAGTAGTACGCCGCCCCATCGAGTCAATCTTAGTGAACATTAAATTTCTTTGTTCAGCCATGATAGCTTTGTGCACTCCTAATGCATTTTCACATCTGACGTACTGTAAAACATGGTATATTGAAGTAGAAACAGTTCATTTTAATATAATATTATTCTCTTAGAGTTTTGTAGAATCTTAGTCATCTCGAAAAGGTCAGTCATGAGTTTTTATTTAATTAACTGAAAGCATGAGTGTCCAATTTATTGAATCCACATATAATAATGTACATCAATGTCAGGTAAGTACTACAGGTGAATTTAAGTAGAATTCTTGCTTCACAGGTGTAATATCGTATAGGTGTTCTTTATAAGTTGACTGGTTTCACTAAGTACGTGCTATATTATGCACTCTCGTCAAATTAACTGTAGAAATTGTTGCTATGGAGCAACTATGAATAACGAATTAGCTATTTCATCGGTAACTGGAATAACTAGAGATATGGAATAAAATGTTATTACGACATTTTAAACGCATATATTTAATTTCATGTTTAGACAAAAAGTTTACACATATTTGACTTATTAAAGCCATTATGAGTTCTTTTGAAATACTCTAAAACTAAATGACCCATAGTGTCATAGCTGAAATCAATGTAGTTTTTATCTCTCCATTAACTAAAAATGTTAAAATTTCGGATTTTAAGTCAAAAAATACAATTAGAGTTAGTGCACAGCATAGTCCGCACTATTTGACGAAGGTGTTTATTGCCATATTTTAAAAGGCATGGTTTTATATTGGAAACACATTTGTGAGGTTCGAATCATATATTGAGAAAAGTTAAGTTATTTCCATGAAGCTAAAGTAACTTTGTTAATGCTTGCATCACTTCCCTTTGCTAGTCTTTAAATCGCTTTTATTTTAAAAATCGAAGTTAAATTAAGTTGAATTTTTCTTTAGCTTAAATTCACGGCAATTTTTTGTTGTGTCCTAGCTGCTTTTTCGATCCATTGAACGTCGCTAATTAGCTTAAACCTTCATTTGGCTAAATCCCCGCCACAGTATTTTATTGTCTTCTATAAATATTAATATATGCTAAAATTACATATTAGGTCAATTTGTACTTTAATTGTTCTGCAGTCATTCAGTTGGTTAGGTATGACCTAAGACTCTCAAAACTATTGGTTAATTTTTGCCAACATTTAATAGGCTTTTAGCCGACGTTGCATGCTCGTTACTGCTTCGCTAACTATTATAATCTCTTGTGTTAAATCTAGTCGTGTTTGCTTAAGTCGCTTATTGTCAGCAGGTATTTTGCTTTGGAAATTGACGTTATGACAGGAAATATGAACAAGCGTACTGCACCTGAATGGAAAGTGCCTTCACCTGAAGTTAAGGTCGATTTGCCTCCCCTTAAATTGTTTAACAGTCTTTCTAATAGCAAAGTAAGCTTATTGGACAATTTAATTGTGTTTCCATAGGTTCCCTTTGTTCCTCAAAAAGGTAAAGATGTGACGTGGTACTGCTGTGGTCCAACTGTTTATGATTCCTCCCATATGGGCCATGCGAGGTTATAATTTTACCATTTTTGTAATACAGTTTTATTAGATCATACATTTCGTTTGACATTATTCGCCGCGTTCTTGTCGATTATTTTGGTTTTAATGTTAAATATATCATGAATATTACTGATATTGATGACAAAGTGAGTATTCATATTAAAATTTTTACACTATACCCCTGAATCAGATAATCAAAAGGGCCCGTCAACACTATTTAATTTCCAATTACTTTGAAAGCGCTTCATCAGTCGCCCAAGTTAAGCAGGATATTCGTGAAGCTATAAAGGTACTCATTCAAATATTATCTTCTGATAAATTATTTTTAATTCCAGCTATTAGATGAAAAATCAAAAACTCACCCGGAACCTGATCAAAGGGATTATCTTAAGCGTGAAGTAATTCGTCTTAAAATTCTCCTTACAAGTCGAATAACTGTTACGAGTCTTCTCTCCGGGGCTCAGGACGCTTTAGCTAATTTTCTGGATTCAAAATTCGGTTCATCGATTTCCGATTTCAAGATTTTTGAAGCTCTCCCTAGAAGGATAGAAAAGGAATTTCTGGGTGATATGAGGTCATTAAACGTAAGAATTCTTTGTATACCTAAATCCATGATCCACTCTTCCATTGTGTTAATTTCCCCACGTTTTCAGGTTCTTGATGCCGACAGGTTGACAAGAGTTAGTGAATATATTGATCCCATAATTACGTTCATTCAGAGGATCATTGATAATGGATTCGCGTAAGTGAATAAACATATGTGTTATCATTAATTTGATTTCACAACCTCTTAAATGTCTAATATGTCCCTCTTATGCATGTATTTTTAGGACTGAAATGTTATTTGATTATCAAAAATAGGTCCCGATTAGATTTCGTGGTTGATTTTTCACAATTTTCCATTTTCAGTGGATTTGGTTTTTTTAAATGCAATTTCTTAGTTCGTTAACGAACTGTCATTTGTGAGCACCGACCTACCTACCGCCTGTCTTGTTAGTGTTAGCTTAAACGAGTTAGCCGCAGATTAAGGATAACCGAAAGAAGATAGGCTCGACTACGCCGTTTCATCTTACTACGATCTATTCTGTTTAGGACTTATCATCACTATATAGATACTTGCCATGGAAGCAATTGCACCAGTTTATTAAAATGAACCAATTAAAATGACACTGTCATTCAAGTTAAATTGGTTTTTTTTCTTCGTATAACTTTTACTGTTTGAAAAGGCTAACCTCATGACGTGCTTATCCTCATTTCCTTTTAAGTCGGATTCGGCCATTACTAACATGGTTATAATTTGTTAAATTGTGATACATCATATTCGGATATTGTTGGAACAATTTACCTTACAACTATCATTATATATGATGTGAGCATCTCAGATAACAGCAATTTCAAGCACTTTTCTTAAACTTATATTAAAGAGGACGTTTATTCTACAGTTAATTTAGTTATGTCTTTTCATCCCTGCATCAAAATTGCATGTTTAAGCCTTATCTGTTACTCTGTGGCCTCTTGTTATAGCTACTCAGTCGCGTCTGGTTCTGTGTACTTCAACACAAAGAAGTTTGCTGAAACCGATGGTCATTTCTACGCTAAATTGGTCCCCACTGCGTATGGTGACGCAGCAAAGTTAACCTCTGGTGAGGGGGATCTCACAACCACAGAAACTGAGAAACGCAATTTCAGTGATTTTGCTCTCTGGAAGGCCTCAAAACCCGGTGAACCCGCTTGGCCTTCTCCCTGGGGTCCTGGTCGACCCGGTTGGCATATTGAGTGTTCTGTCATGGCAAGTGATGCCATTGGTGACTGCATGGATATCCACACTGGTGGAGTGGATCTTAAATTCCCTCATCATGACAACGAACTCGCCCAATCGGAGGTAAGCCAAGTTCTTGCTATTAATTTTCCCCCACCTAGGCTCATTTTGGTCATTCTCATTGGGTGAATTACTTCCTTCACGCTGGACACTTGACTATCAGTGGTTGCAAGATGTCCAAGTCTCTGAAGAACTTTATCACTATTCGTGATGCCTTGAAACAACATACGGCTCGTGAACTTCGTTTCGCCTTCCTTCTTCATAGCTGGAGAGATACCCTGGACTATGGCGCAGATACGATGAGTGAAGCTCTAGCTTTCAGCAAAACTATCAATGTAGGTTCTTGGGTTTGAATCCTCACCTGCCATGCCTCTCTTTTAAAAGGACTTTCTGTTTAATGTCTCGCATACTCTGAGACTCCTTTCGCTCAGCAAGCAGAAAGCTGATGGGGATTTGCCGGAAAATCAGGATCTCACAGGTACTCTTGCCGCTGCCCAAAAGGAGGTGTTTGATGCTCTTTGTGGTAAGACAAATTTTTTACTGGAAAATGTGATGTAAAAATCTTCCACATCAATAAAGAACTGGTTCATTATAGATAGTAGTATGCGAGTTTCATAGAATGCTCTGGGCGATACTTCTATTGTAAGTCACCATCATTCAAAAGTTTTTAGGCTTCTTATGATGACCTCTTGATAATAATGCGACTGGAGACCATGGTTCCTAGAATTTTTATTCTATACCTTTTCATTGCTGTTGGTAATCAGTGGGTGAAAAGGTTTTTAAAACTTAACTTGGATGAAGAGTGAAATTAGTGGTTGCTAACATTAATCACCTCTTGTAGGCAAGACCTAGACCAGAGGTGTGACTAGGATAAGTCTAATGGATGGCCAATCACACTTCTTAAAGCTGGTTAGCAAAAGAAGTAGTTAGCTTTTATTTTCCCATAGAAACTGCAGTTGATGATATTGCGTCATTGAAGGATTTATATATATTCCGCATTATATATATATATATATATATATATATATATCTTTGTTTTCTTCTACTAAATAGATTCGATCGATACTCAGCGTGCACTGCTTGCTATCCGCAAATTGATTAATGCTTATAATCAGGTGGACTGCGCACAACCCTTGGGAACAACCTCACAATGCCTTACTGCCAGGGCCTATCAATCATATTCTCTTGCTGCTTTTATCCTTCGTCTGCTCTGCGTCTTTGGCGCCTCCGACCAGACAGCACTCTCGGACACATGGCCTGACTTTGGAAAAAGTGCCCAGCCATGCCTCGCTTGGCCAATCCCCCATGAAAAGGCAGTTAAGGAGATTACTAATAGCACCCTTTGGATTTCAATGGATGCATTGAATAAGGAGATCCTTGCTACTGCTTTCCATGGAGCTGCAGAAGCTTGCCAGATGTTTATCAAAGAAATACGAGAGGTTGCATCCAACGGTAAGCACCTCCTCTTTCAATTAGGTCAATTTTATTAATAAGCTAAGAGTTATTTGTCTCTTCCTCATCTTGTAGCGATGCAGGTTGTGGACATTATTGCCGACTTCGAGGCTTCACTTAAGAGGGACTGCAATTTCGATCTTGAAAATCTCCCATGTGATGTTAATTGTAAGTACTTTTATTTGAAAGTTCATTTCTTTCCCCAAGGGTACTTTATTGACGGTTTCCCACTTAAATGTGACTATGTAGTACTAGCTACCAAAAATGATATGAAAATATTATTATGGGAAATTTTTGAATGTTCGCTCTTGTCTAAACTAACGTTGGTTTATATGCATTAATATTTTGTGGACAGCTCGAGCTGAACAATTATCTAAATTTTCTCTACAACAATGATGACTTGTATTTGCTTCCTTTGTTTAAAAATCGTTCAAAAGCTCAGTTTATGCATTAAAATATAGTAGCTTATTTGTGAATTTCACCTATACTTGATATGTCCGTTTTTGCACAATTTGGAAGAGCGGGTTCATTGCTGATTGTGGGATGCTATCTGACTGCCTCCAGAAATATAGGCTCGCAGTCCAAAGTTGGATCGACATTCTGATGTTTTGCGTGTTTCAATCACTTGGAAGAACTAAGGTGCTCCAGAAGTCCTTGTCGATGCTTATGCCTGAGAAGCAGGGCACCTATCATTTGTTTGTCTTGGTCCCAATTGGCACGTTCACACACGAGATTATGGGAAGTAAAATGTGAATCGTAATGGAAGTGAGCAGGGTGGCATTCCTTTAAGGGTGTTCGGGATAGCTTTTATCGATTTATGTTTGGTTGTTTGCCAGAAATTAGAATTTTTGCACAACATACTGCCTATCCTTCGCTGTTTCCCTTATTTTGGATGTTTTCTCTTGATTAAAGGGAGTGAAATTAGTACGAAAAAATTTCTCTCATGTCTGTTTCCTCAAACCGATAAACATGCTTTTGATTTTTGAGCGGTTTTATTCATGGCCTCCCATTGAATCCTTTGGTGACATTGTGTATGGCATTCTGATCAATGCCATTTCAACCACCCTTTTCCTTTATGTCATTTAAAGGAACTCAAAATTGAAAACTGGAAAGACCATTGATTTTTCTCACCCACACAGTGGGCAGCTTCTCGCCTTACTGTTTTCCCTCGAAGTTCCTTAGTAGTGTATATCTTTTCGGCGTTGACTGTTTTACCCATGGCGCCTCAATACTAGGCATGCTTTTCGATCTTCCTAAGTTCCTCACTTGGGGGTGTGCGATAGACTTACCTCCACGTGGTGCATCCTGGGCAATGTATACTCATACGGCAAAATAGTCTATTAACCGGCAGCTGACTTCTGACTTCAAACTACCAATACCCCACTGCATTTCATATTCGAATAATTTCACAGTACTCACCTCACCTTTTTCTACCTTTGTGTCTGTCTGTCTCTTTTACGTCTGTGAATCATTATTCTGCCCCCCTCTCGACGTTTTGCCACTTTGATGTGCATCTTCCTTTCTGTGAAGCCTGAAGTCAACTAAAGTTCTAATGATACCTATCATAACGCCTGCCATTTGAAATAAATAAAGTTCCTCACTTTACTTTAAATTCTCTGCAAGTCTTAATTTGTTATTAGAGATAGCTGTTGGCATTTTAAAGTGGGCAGAAGCATTACACGGGGGTTTAGATGTCTTCACTTTGTTCTCTATTTTTATCCAAAGTCTAGCTTTGCTCCTTACTACAACTCTACCTCTTTGTCATACGCGCATTGCTTTCGTCATAATTGTTTGTTCACTTTTTTCATTCTCTCTTGAATCTGATGCCTTAAAGAAGGCTTTAGGGTTAGGTTGTTGAGACGATCTTATAAGGTAGTTCAAAGACAAAGTCTTCTTTGTCGAACCTTGTCTACGGGATA